CTCCCTTCTCTACGCTTGCGAAACGTGGACCCCCCTAATGGAACATCTTCGCCGGTTAGAAACATTTAGGCTGACCTGCCTACGATCCATCCTGGGTTTAACCAGACTGGATTGTGTGAGGAGCTCACAAATCCTTGAAAGATCTGGGCAGGGTCCCATCGGTGAGCTCCTCCGGCAGGCAAGGCTGCGATGGCTGGGTCATGTAGCCCGCATGCCCAGCCACCGCATGCCGAAACAGCTTTTGTTTGGCCGGATTGAGGGGGCTAAGCGGGCGCGGCACGGGCTAGAGAAGAGATGGAGTGATGTGGTACAGGAGGACGTGGAGCTGAGTGGACTTGCCGATGACTGGTACCAGCGGTGTCAAGATCGGCCTCTGTGGAGGAGGCTCGTGAAGGATGCTACTGGGCAGTTGGAGGCAGTCGCCCTCCAACAACAACGGAGGGCGGAGGAGCGACGCTCACAACAGCGAGCGGAGCGCCGGGTGGCTAAAGCACAGCAGGTTGGCACAGTAGGGGGCACAGGTGGTGCATCAGCCAGTCATCTCAGTCAGTCGACCCGTGGCACCTGGGTCTGCCCCGTGACCTCCTGCCAGCGGGCGTTCGACACTTCACGTGGCCTCAGGGTGCACATAGCCTGGCACAAGCGTCGTGGTGACGTCACCGCCACTTAGTGGCGAATGGCGGTTGTTGTTGTTGTGTGTTAGTGTGTGTGTGTTAGTGTGTGTGTTAGTGTGTGTGTTAGTGTGTGTGTGTTAGTGTGTGTGTTAGTGTGTGTGTTAGTGTGTGTGTTAGTGTGTGTGTGTTAGTGTGTGTGTGTGTTAGTGTGTTAGTGTGTGTGTGTGTTAGTGTGTGTGTTAGTGTGTGTGTGTTAGTGTGTGTGTTAGTGTGTGTGTTAGTGTGTGTGTTAGTGTGTGTGTGTTAGTGTGTGTGTTAGTGTGTGTGTGTTAGTGTGTGTGTTAGTGTGTGTGTGTTACGGGTGGGACACTGCTTGTTGCACGTGTCCACGGTTGCCACGGTGAAGAGATAATCCGCTTGGCACGACGGCCGCTTGGGGTGGTTGTGGTGGGGGTGGTGATGGTGGTGGTGGCGGTGGTGGTGGTGGTGATGGTGAGGGTGATGGTGGTGGTGATGATGGTGGTGGTGATGATGGTGGTGATGGTGATGGTGATGCTGGTGGTGGTGATGGTGGTGATGGTGGTGGTGGTGATGGTGGTGGTGGTGATGCTGGTGATGGTGGTGGTGGTGATGGTGGTGGTGGTGATGGTGATGGTGATGCTGGTGGTGGTGATGGTGGTGATGGTGGTGATGCTGGTGATGGTGGTGGTGGTGATGGTGGTGGTGGTGATGGTGATGCTGGTGGTGGTGATGCTGGTGGTGGTGATGGTGGTGATGGTGGTGGTGGTGATGGTGGTGATGGTGGTGGTGGTGATGGTGGTGATGGTGGTGGTGATGGTGGTGGTGGTGATGGTGATGCTGGTGGTGGTGATGGTGGTGATGGTGGTGGTGGTGATGGTGGTGGTCGTGATGGTGATGCTGGTGGTGGTGATGGTGGTGATGGTGGTGGTGGTGATGCTGGTGGTGGTGATGGTGGTGATGGTGGTGGTGGTGATGGTGGTGATGGTGGTGGTGGTGATGGTGGTGGTGATGGTGGTGGTGGTGATGGTGGTGATGGTGGTGGTGGTGATGGTGGTGATGGTGGTGGTGATGGTGGTGGTGGTGATGGTGGTGGTCGTGATGGTGATGCTGGTGGTGGTGATGGTGGTGATGGTGGTGGTGGTGATGCTGGTGGTGGTGATGGTGGTGATGGTGGTGGTGGTGATGGTGGTGATGGTGGTGATGGTGGTGGTGGTGATGGTGGTGGTGGTGGTGATGGTGGTGTTGGTGGTGATGCTGGTGGTGGTGATGGTGGTGGTGGTGATGGTGGTGATGCTGGTGGTGGTGATGGTGGTGGTGATGCTGGTGGTGGTGATGGTGGTGATGGTGATGATGCTGGTGGTGGTGATGGTGGTGGTGATGCTGGTGGTGGTGATGGTGGTGGTGATGCTGGTGGTGGTGATGGTGGTGATGGTGATGATGCTGGTGGTGGTGATGGTGGTGATGCTGGTGGTGGTGATGGTGGTGGTGATGCTGGTGGTGGTGATGGTGGTGATGGTGATGATGCTGGTGGTGGTGATGGTGGTGGTGATGCTGGTGGTGGTGATGGTGGTGGTGATGCTGGTGGTGGTGATGGTGGTGATGGTGATGATGCTGGTGGTGGTGATGGTGGTGGTGGTGGTGGCTGGGCGTGGTGGGTGGTCTAGCCGTGTCACAGTTTCACCGCCAGTCCCAGCAGCAGGAGGTACGACTACTACAGGTACTAGTACAGGTACCAAAGGTACTACAGGTACCACAGGTTCTACCACAGGTACTACAGGTACTACTACAGGTACCACAGGTCCCACAGGTACTACTACAGGTACTAGAGATACCTGCTGGGCCTAGCCGTGTCGCAGAGTTTCACCGCCAGTCCCAGCAGCAGGAGGTACTACCACAGGTACCACAGGTACTACAGGGTCCCAGCAGCAGGAGGTACTACTACAGGTACCACAGGTACTACAGGTACTACTACAGGTACCACAGGTACTAGAGGTACCACAGGTACTAGAGCTACTACTACAGGTACTACTACAGGTACTAGAGCAGTGGTTCTTAACCTGGGTTCGATCAAACCCCAGGGGTTCGGTGAGTCGATCTCAGGGGTTCGGCAGAGCCCCCGCCACGGAGGTCCGGACACACTTGAATTATTGTGTACATTTGTGATGACACACACGGCGCGCTTGGCCATCACTGGCTGCAGATGATCATGCTACACTGCTTGGCCAATCAGCGCTGCGGGGAATTTAGTGCGTACTCAGTAGTCAACGTGTGACTGTTGTTGTCGTACGTCGTGTGATTTCTTTAATATTTTATCCATACTAACTATGTCGGGCAAAAGAAGAAAGTGGTCGGACGAATATGTACAACATGGATTCTCATGTATCACGGAACGTGATGGGAGTGAGCGTCCTATCTGCATGATTTGCAACGCCAAGTTGAGCAACTCTAGTCTTGCACCGGCAAAACTAAAGGAACACTTCTTGAAGCTGCATGGAGACGGGGAATACAAGAACACAACACTTGCTGAATTCAGGGTGAAGAGAGCCAGATTCGATGAAAGGGCCACTCTGCCTGCTCTTGGATTTGTACCTGTTAACAAACCGATCCTGACTGCATCGTACGAAGTTGCTTACCTGATCGCAAAGCAGGGCAAGCCACACACCATTGGTGAAACACTTGTGAAACCAGCTGCATTAAAGATGGCGAATCTGATACTCGGAACAGCGGCCGAAGGTAAATTATCCCAAATTCCCCTTTCAAATGACACCGTCAGTGACAGAATAGAAGACATGAGTAAAGACATCTTGGCTCAAGTAGTCGCGGATCTGATTTCAAGCCCGGCAAAATTCAGCCTTCAACTCGACGAAACCACAGACGTTTCTGATCTAAGCCAGCTTGCTGTTTTGTACGCTATGTGAAAGACGACATGATAAAAGAAGAGTTTTTATTTTGTAAGCCTCTTACAACAACAACGAAGGCAGCCGATGTGAAGAAGCTTGTGGATGACTTCTTCAGAGACAACAATCTTTCATGGGATATGGTTTCTGCAGTTTGTACGGACGGAGCTCCAGTCATGCTGGGAAGAAAGTCTGGTTTTGGTGCGCTAGTAAAGGCCGATGCACCACACATCATTGTGACGCATTGTATTCTGCACAGGCATGCGTTGGCAACAAAAACCTTACCTCCAAAAATGGCAGAAGTATTAAAAACTGTGGTGGAATGTGTGAACTATGTGCGAAAAAGTGCTCTGAGGCACCGCATCTTCAGTGAGCTGTGTAAAGAAATGGGCTCTGAATTTGAGGTACTTCTGCTCCATTCTAATATTCGGTGGTTATCCCGGGGACAGGTGCTGAATCGTGTTTTTGCCATGCGTGTGGAAATAGCCTTGTTTTTGCAAGAGCACCAACACTGCCATGCAGATTGCTTCAAAAATCCTGAGTTCATTCTCATTTTAGCATACATGGCTGATATATTCGCAGCTCTCAATCATCTCAATCAGCAGATGCAGGGTGGTGGAGTCAATATCATGAAAGCGGAAGAACACCTGAAGGCTTTTAAAAAAAGCTACCGTTATGGAAGCGACGAACAGAGAACAATAACTTCGCAAACTTCCCGCTTCTGGACGACTGTGCAAGTAAGATCGAAGATGTGTCTGGAATCGGAGATATTTCTGTATCCACGGAACTGAAGCAAACAATTGCCACGCACTTAGATGAGCTTGCAAAGTCTCTCGACGGATATTTCCCTACAAGAGAGTCATATCCAGCATGGGTGAGACAGCCGTTCACGTTTGCTGTTGAAACAGCGGATGTCAATGATGAATTCCTCGACGAAATCATTGAAATTCAGCAGAGCCAGGTTCAACAGCAACTCTTCAGAACAACAACGCTCTCAACGTTTTGGTGTCGACAAATGAACAAGTATCCAGTTATTGCTAAGAAAGCCCTGGATTTTTTTATACCATTTGTTACAACATATCTTTGTGAGCAATCCTTTTCGAGGATGCTGGACATAAAAACGAAGAAAAGGAACAGACTTTGCTGTGAAAATGACATGAGAGTGGCACTTGCCAAGGTGAAGCCACGCATATCTGAACTGATCTCTCAAAGGCAACAGCAGAAGTCACATTGATTTCCAGGTATGTAATTTGTTGTGAATTTATGCATTGTGTTGGTTTTATTCTTTGAACAAGGTAATGTTCATGCACGGCTCATTTTGTGTACCAGTAAAAAACATATCTATGTCTTGAATTTGAAAAAAAATCACATTTTATTTTTCACTAAAGAGGGGTTCGGTGAATGCGCATATGAAACTGGTGGGGTTCGGTACCTCCAACAAGGTTAAGAACCACTGTACTAGAGGTACCTGCTAGGCCTAGCCGTGTCACAGAGTTTCACCACCAGGCCCAGCAGCAGGAGGTAGTACTACAGGTACTACTACAGGTACCACAGGTACTACCACAGGTACCACAGGTACCACAGGTACTAGAGGTACTACCACAGGTACCTGCTAGGCCTAGCCGTGTCACAAAGTTTCACCGCCAGTCCCAGCAGCAGGAGGTAGTACTACTACAGGTACCACAGGTACCACAGGTACTAGAGGTACTACCACAGGTATTACTACAGGTTCTTGCTAGGCCTAGCCGTGTCACAGAGTTTCTCCGCCAGCCCCAGCAGCAGGAGGTACTACTACTACTACAGGTACTACTAGAGGTACCACAGGTACTACCACAGGTACTAGAGGTACCTGCTGGGTCTAGCCGTGTCACAGAGTTTCACCGCCAGGCCCAGCAGCAGGAGGTTCTACCACAGGTACTACAGGTATCACAGGTACTAATACAGGCACCACAGGTACTACCACAGGTACTACCACAGGTACCACCACAGGTACTACTACAGGTACCACAGGTACTACAGGTACCACAGGTAATACTACAGGTACTACCACAGGTACTACTACAGGTACCACAGGTACTACAGGTACCACAGGTACTACTACAGGTACTACCACAGGTACTACTACAGGTACCACAGGTACTACAGGTACCACAGGTAATACTACAGGTACCACAGGTACTACAGGTACCACAGGTACTAGAGGTACCTGCTAGGCCTAGCCGTGTCACAGAGTTTCACCGCCAGGCCCAGCAGCAGGAGGTACTACCACAGGTACTACAGGTACCACAGGTTCTACAGGTACTACCACAGGTACTACCACAGGTACTAGAGGTACCTGCTGGGTCTAGCCGTGTCACAGAGTTTCACCGCCAGGCCCAGCAGCAGGAGGTAGTACTACAGGTACCACAGGTACCACAGGTACCACAGGCACCACAGGTACTAGAGGTACCTGCTAGGCCTAGCCGTGTCACAGAGTTTCACCGCCAGGCCCAGCAGCAGGAGGTAGTACCACAGGTACCACAGGTACCACAGGTACTACCACAGGTACTACCACAGGTACCACAGGTACTACCACAGGTACCACAGGTACTACCACAAGTACCACAGGTACTACAGGTACCACAGGTACTACAGGTACTACAGGTACTACCACAGGTACTACAGGTACTACCACAGGTACCACCACAGGTACTACCACAGGTACCTGCTAGGCCTAGCCGTGTCACAGAGTTTCACCGCCAGGCCCAGCAGCAGGAGGTACTACTACAGGTACCACAGGTACTACCACAGGTACCACAGGTACCACAGGTACTAGAGGTACTACCACAGGTCCCACAGGTACTACAGGTACCACAGGTACTACCACAGGTACCACAGGTACCACAGGTACCACAGGTACTACTACAGGTGCCACAGGTACTACTACAGGTACCACAGGTACCACAGGTACTAGAGGTACTACCACAGGTCCCACAGGTACTACAGGTACCACAGGTACTACCACAGGTACTACCACAGGTACTAGAGGTACCTGCTAGGCCTAGCCGTGTCACAGAGTTTCACCGCCAGGCCCAGCAGCAGGAGGTTCTACCACAGGTACCACAGGTACTACCACAGGTACCACAGGTACTACAGGTACCACAGGTACCACAGGTACTACTACAGGTACCTGCTAGGCCTAGCCGTGTCACAGAGTTTCACCGCCAGGCCCAGCAGCAGGAGGTAGTACTACAGGTACCACAGGTACCACAGGTACCACAGGTACTACCACAGGTACCTGCTAGGCCTAGCCGTGTCACAGAGTTTCACCGCCAGGCCCAGCAGCAGGAGGTAGTACTACTACAGGTACCACCACAGGTACCACCACAGGTACTACCACAGGTACCACAGGTACTACCACAGGTACCACAGGTACTACCACAGGTACCACAGGTACTAGTACAGGTACCACAGGGACTACAGGTACCACAGGGACTACTACAGGTACCACAGGTACTAGTACAGGTACCACAGGGACTACAGGTACCACAGGGACTACTACAGGTACCACAGGTACTACCACAGGTACCACAGGTACTACCACAGGTACTACCACAGGTACTACCACAGGTACCTGCTAGGCCTAGCCGTGTCACAGAGTTTCACCGCCAGGCCCAGCAGCAGGAGGTTCTACCACAGGTACTACAGGTACTACAGGTACCACAGGTACTACTACAGGTACTAGAGGTACCTGCTGGGTCTAGCCGTGTCACAGAGTTTCACCGCCAGGCCCAGCAGCAGGAGGTTCTACCACAGGTACCACAGGTACTACCACAGGTACCACAGGTACCACAGGTACTAGAGGTACCTGCTAGGCCTAGCCGTGTCACAGAGTTTCACCGCCAGTCCCAGCAGCAGGAGGTAGTACTACAGGTACCACAGGTACCACAGGTACCACCACAGGTACTACTACAGGTACCACAGGTACTACAGGTACCACAGGCACCACAGGTACTAGAGGTACCTGCTAGGCCTAGCCGTGTCACAGAGTTTCACCGCCAGGCCCAGCAGCAGGAGGTTCTACCACAGGTACCACAGGTACTACTACAGGTACCACAGGTACCACAGGTACTACCACAGGTACCTGCTAGGCCTAGCCGTGTCACAGAGTTTCACCGCCAGGCCCAGCAGCAGGAGGTAGTACCACAGGTACTACTACAGGTACCACAGGTACCACAGGTACCACAGGTACCACAGGTACTACCACAGGTACCTGCTAGGCCTAGCCGTGTCACAGAGTTTCACCGCCAGGCCCAGCAGCAGGAGGTACTACCACAGGTACCACAGGTACTACTACAGGTACTACAGGTACCACAGGTACTAGAGGTACTACTACAGGTACCTGCTAGGCCTAGCCGTGTCACAGAGTTTCACCGCCAGGCCCAGCAGCAGGAGGTTCTACCACAGGTACCACAGGTACCACAGGTACCACAGGTACTAGAGGTACCTGCTAGGCCTAGCCGTGTCACAGAGTTTCACCGCCAGGCCCAGCAGCAGGAGGTAGTACTACAGGTACCACAGGTACCACAGGTACTAGAGGTACCACAGGTACTAGAGGTACCACAGGTACTAGAGGTACCACAGGTACTAGAGGTACCTGCTAGGCCTAGCCGTGTCACAGAGTTTCACCGCCAGGCCCAGCAGCAGGAGGTTCTACCACAGGTACCACAGGTACCACAGGTACTACCACAGGTACTAGAGGTACCACAGGTACTACCACAGGTACCACAGGTACTAGAGGTACCTGCTAGGCCTAGCCGTGTCACAGAGTTTCACCGCCAGGCCCAGCAGCAGGAGGTTCTACCACAGGTACTACCACAGGTACCACAGGTACTACAGGTACTACAGGTACCACAGGTACTACCACAGGTACCACAGGTACCACAGGTACTACAGGTACTACAGGTACCACAGGTACTACAGGTACTACAGGTACCACAGGTACTACAGGTACCACAGGTACTACAGGTACCACAGGTACTACCACAGGTACTACCACAGGTACCTGCTAGGCCTAGCCGTGTCACAGAGCTTCACCGCCAGGCCCAGCAGCAGGAGGTAGTACCACAGGTACCACAGGTACCACAGGTACTACTACAGGTACCACAGGTACTACCACAGGTACCACAGGTACTACCACAGGTACCACAGGTACTACTACAGGTACCACAGGTACCACAGGTACTACCACAGGTACTAGAGGTACCTGCTGGGCCTAGCCGTGTCACAGAGTTTCACCGCCAGGCCCAGCAGCAGGAGGTTCTACCACAGGTACTACTACAGGTACCACAGGTACCACAGGTACTACCACAGGTACTAGAGGTACCTGCTAGGCCTAGCCGTGTCACAGAGTTTCACCGCCAGGCCCAGCAGCAGGAGGTAGTACTACAGGTACCACAGGTACTACCACAGGTACCACAGGTACTACAGGTACCACAGGTACCACAGGTACTACAGGTACCACAGGTACTACAGGTACCACAGGTACTACAGGTACCACAGGTACCACAGGTACTACAGGTACCACAGGTACTACCACAGGTACTAGAGGTACTACCACAGGTACCTGCTAGGCCTAGCCGTGTCACAGAGTTTCACCGCCAGGCCCAGCAGCAGGAGGTTCTACCACAGGTACCACAGGTACCACAGGTACTACAGGTACCACAGGTACCACAGGTACCACAGGTACCACAGGTACCACAGGTACCACCACAGGTACTACCACAGGTACCTGCTAGGCCTAGCCGTGTCACAGAGTTTCACCGCCAGGCCCAGCAGCAGGAGGTTCTACCACAGGTACTACTACAGGTACTACAGGTACCACAGGTACCACTACAGGTACCACAGGTACCACAGGTACCACAGGTACTACCACAGGTACCTGCTAGGCCTAGCCGTGTCACAGAGTTTCACCGCCAGGCCCAGCAGCAGGAGGTAGTACTACAGGTACCACAGGTACTACAGGTACCACAGGTAGTACTACAGGTACCACAGGTACTAGAGGTACCTGCTAGGCATAGCCGTGTCACAGAGTTTCACCGCCAGGCCCAGCAGCAGGAGGTAGTACTACAGGTACCACAGGTACTACAGGTACCACAGGTAGTACCACAGGTACCACAGGTACTAGAGGTACCTGCTGGGCCTAGCCGTGTCACAGAGTTTCACCGCCAGGCCCAGCAGCAGGAGGTTCTACCACAGGTACCACAGGTACCACAGGTACCACAGGTACTACAGGTACTACAGGTACCACAGGTACTACCACAGGTACTACCACAGGTACCTGCTAGGCCTAGCCGTGTCACAGAGTTTCACCGCCAGGCCCAGCAGCAGGAGGTTCTACCACAGGTACTACCACAGGTACCACAGGTACCACAGGTACTAGAGGTACCTGCTAGGCCTAGCCGTGTCACAGAGTTTCACCGCCAGGCCCAGCAGCAGGAGGTACTACCACAGGTACCACAGGTACTACAGGTACCACAGGTACTACCACAGGTACCACAGGTACTACAGGTACCACCACAGGTACCACAGGTACTACAGGTACCACCACAGGTACCACAGGTACTACAGGTACCACAGGTACTACTACAGGTACCACCACAGGTACCACAGGTACTACAGGTACCACCACAGGTACCACAGGTACTACAGGTACCACAGGTACTACTACAGGTACCACAGGTACTGCCACAAGTACCACAGGTACTACAGGTACCACAGGTACCACAGGTACTACTACAGGTACCACAGGTACCACAGGTACTACAGGTACTAGAGGTACCTGCTAGGCCTAGCCGTGTCACAGAGTTTCACCGCCAGGCCCAGCAGCAGGAGGTACTACCACAGGTACCACAGGTACCACAGGTACCACAGGTACTACCACAGGTACTAGAGGTACCTGCTAGGCCTAGCCGTGTCACAGAGTTT